CAGAGATGATTTTTCATTTCCTATCGTTAATTATCCATTTTTAGATGGTGACGTTCCCTTGTCACCATCTTATGGTGTTTATATATCTCAACTTGTACGATTCGCTCGTGTATGTTACAACGTATTAGATTTTAGCGAGAGAAATTTATATATTACTGAAAAGTTTTACGCCAGGGTTTTCGATATCATAAACTAGTCAAAACATTTACTAAATTTTATCATCGGTATAAGGACATCATTCGTAAATATAACTTAACATGCAGACATCTTATACGTTCGGGTATTTCACATCCAATCTTTTTTGGTAATATTCTTTACAAAGCACAAAAATGTCAGTATTCACCTCAAAAACTAACAAAACCTTTAAACAGACTTATTAAGAAGGGATATAGTTACGATACTGTTGTCAGGTCATTAAAGATTGCATATTTTGGCTTTAATATTGGTTCACTTATAGGGTCTTTGCATCGGAATTAAACATATTTATTCTAAAACCAGTTGTTGGCATGACACGGGTTATGTTCTTCTCATATATTTTATGACGGTATAATACTAAACCCCTAACAGGAGGGATTGTGCTTGATATTCATATGATGAAGACATAATCTTTCAATCAGTTTAATTGAGTTCTGGAGCTGGCATGTCAGTAACTGCTAGTAGTCTGTTGTTATTTATGTATTATTGTCATTTTGTTTATTTTCTTTTGTTTCCTATTCTGACATCGGACTCGGACTTCTCTTAAACTGAGTTTTACTGTTCGTACTGTTGTACGTTTGTTTTTTCTACATTGGCTAGAGGTATAGGGGGAGGATTGAGTTCTCAAAAAACATGTTTAACCCCGCCGCATTTTTGTGCCTGTCCCAAGTCAGGAGCCTCTGGCCTTTGTTAGTCTTGTATCATTTTTAATTTTAGTTTCTTGTGTATAATTTGGAGTTTAATATGACGTCCATTATCACTGAACTAGTATACATATTTGTTTAGGGGCCAGCTGAAGGACGCCTCCGGGTGCGGGAGTTTCTCGCTGCATTGAAGACCCATTGGTGGCCTTCGGCTGTTGTCTGCTCTATGGTCGGGTTGTTGTCTCTTTGACACATTCCCCATTTCCATTCTCAATTTTATCTACAAATGTATCTCGTAGTATATGTAGCCATACATATCTGGAGTTGGTTTCAAATACAAGTTATGTTCAAGGGTTACCATACGAAAACCTCTTTTCTGGATGATTCATTGCGGGATTACGGTTAGCATCTGTGACTATGATTTTTCACTTGCTGAATTCAAAATCGACAGGAAATTGTCATTGTTTATATGTGACCTTATAAGTTTACTTTCGACAAAGGTTATCGAATTATCAACTGAAAACCCTTTATTATCAGTGCGTGTATTTATTATCATACTGCAAGACACTAGTTTGTTTTCTATTATGTTGTGTTTTCCCAACCGACTCACTAGATGACATCCTTATCCGATATGAAATCAATGAATGTAGCATCATTTGTACAGACTGTTCGATAAAAACGTGTAGAATGATCCTTCAGGAAGTGTTTTCATAGAGACAGTTTTAACTGACACTGAGATTTTATACTAAGCACTCACTTTTGTAACAAATTGCTTTTGCATTTATAGTATTCTAGTAAGAAAGAGATCTTAATATACTATTGTACTTCTGTTCTAATATGAAGATGAGTTTAAACAAAACGTTTTCAAAGACAAAATGAAATAGTATCTTGCTAGGGTCTTAATTTCACTTTCAGATATATAAATGATATCATGCAACTTAATAACCTACATTTAAGTGCATGCTGGCGTCTCATGAAAACCAATTAACTTAAAATTAAGGATACTGCCGACATATCTTAACGTTTTCCTAGTTATTGGCACATATCATAGTATGGTCATCTTCATAAATTAACTGTTACAAAATGTTTTCGAAATACTTAGGATTTTCTACCCAAGGAAAAGATAACCTTAGCTGTATTTGGCTTACGGAATTTTAGGTCCGCAATGCCCTCCACGTTCATACTTTATTTGGGCTTTTAACTTTTTTTATTCGAGCGTCACTGATAAGTCTTTTGTAGACGAAATGCGCGTCTGGCGTACAAAATTTTAAGCCTGGTATCTGGTGAGTTTATTTATGGACGGCTTCAAAATAGCAGTTATGGCAAATATGATGATTTCTGCTTTCCTAATATATAACTAACCATATATAATTAAGGGGACAGTAGTTACCGATCTTCAAATCTTGTAAATCGATTAAGAGGAGACAAATCAAGGTAACAAACAAAATTTTAGAAAATCGCATGATCTCTAAAAGGAGCGAGCCGTTGACAGGATTTCACACTCAGTCAAAATGTCACAATCGTGAATAGAATACAATCGCTAAAATTACAGATCAGACGACTTTACTATTATATTGCAATCTAAGACCGCGAAAACATGTCGCTAGTGAGTTGAGACACTGACACATCGTATCGGTTAACCAATTTGTAATGGTGACCGTAAGAATTATATTTATAATGTTCTGTTATAATTTACACGAATATATATCTGATATACTTATAAGCTGTTTTGCTTCTGGTTAGAAAATATACTAAACAAAGAAATGCCGATTTTATTCGTTTCATTCTCATAACTTTGTTATAGTAGTTTTTGTGTATGAAGCAAACCCCTGCTAAGTGTAAACATGCACGAGCGTAATGTATTAACTGAGATATGTAAACGCCATACCACGAGGCAGATTGTATATTACTCTAGTTTGAAGTCGCTCATGTGTTAATGACGAGGAAAAGATCAGGATATGAAGCAGACCTTCTACTTTCGGTAGTATCCTTAATATCAAGTTTACTGGGATATATATGCAAGCACTATGCAAGCACTATGCAAGCACTCATTTAAATGTGGGTTATTGAGTGACAGCACTTAATAAATATATTTGAAAGTGAAATAAAAAATGATGCTTTTTCTTTGTTTTCATGTTAAGGTTTTGTATACATTTTTCTCATATGAGTACCAAAAAAATCGGCTCTTAGAGATGCACCCAGTACCGATCGGAATACCGACTGTCTGCTGGAATATCAATCACTCAAATTCAATAAATATGTTGTCGACAAAAAAAATTCAACATTTTTTAGAGAATATCATCTTTAGCGTATTTGGTGTGGAAATTAGTGTGGTTCTTCACAAAGTAAGATTATTTATGACCTAACACAAAGGTATTTGTACCAACATTTCCCATCTTGTAAAAACATCTCTGTTTAATGAGATGATGTAGTCGATTTTTCAATTGAGCTTGGGGAATAGTAGTTTAAAGCGTGGAAAAGAACTGCATCATACCCTCAGTTCATTCTTATGAAATTTACACTACCATATTCATTCATTACGCTTGGTCATGGTTGCATTATACAGACTTTACTATCAGATGTGTACACCTAACACAAAAACTGCTGCATTAGGGTAATGAGTAAGAATGAAATCGCCAATTCATAAGTTTTACAGTCACCATCATAAATTGGTTGACCGATACGATGCATTTGTGTTTCAACTCAATAGCGACATGTATTCACGATATTATATCATTAGATATGAGAATAGTCATCTGATCTATGAGGAATAGCTATAATAAGAGCCACCAGTTAGCCCTAAATTGCAAAAAAGTGAAAAATTCAAGCCTTTTGAAATTCTTATTTTATTGCTAAATGAACAGTTTGATATAATATGAACAATTTAGTGCCGTAAGGTCTTTTATGTTTTTTTTTGGAAGTCATAAGCATATAGATATATAGCAAGCCCTACCAAAAATTATATTGTACACACATTTTTTCGTTGAAAAATACTTTTGTTGCGAATTATAATTTTGGTGAAGCCTTGGCTTATGACTAAATATTTATTATTTTAATTGCAAGATCTCAAATCGAGGCTACTTTGACGATTTCTGTAGTATCGCATTGATTGCAAAAAAATTGATGCCTTAATGCAAATATATAGGACAATATTCAAACCTGTAAATACACAGTTCGGTATCTGTCAGACTTATGTCGTTTGAACATCTGAAAGCAATTTATGTTTTGTTATTGTAAAAATTAAAAAAAGGACACTCTTAATCAAAAAAATTTTAATTGATAATAATGCTTTATTTTGTTTTTCAGATACCAATTAATTAATTTTGGTAAAGGTTATCCTTCAATGGAAACTTTTACAAAAACGTTGAAAATGTTTAATATTGTATCAAACTTTTCAATTACAATGCATACTACTGGATGAGTTATTTATTATTGGTTAACCTTTTTGTTTATATTTTGCCAAACCAACACAAAATTTAACGACACCCGATAAAATCATTTAAAATTTGGTTAATATGTTACATTTTTCTCCCGTTTTTCCTTTCTTTTGTTGCTAAAATTATGTCAGTCCCTTATCGACTTTTAATTGATTATCCGTTTGGTATATGTCGCTTCTTTTTAGGGAAAGCCTCAAAGTTCACAAATAAATCAGTCAAATTGTGATGTTTGGTAAACATTGGAATACTTTCTCAAAATGGTACTTTGTGGAATAAATTCAGGAGAAATTGACCCAACCTTTTACAATTTTAAGGCTGTTGGATTTGCAATCGATAATTCTAAATCCGATTCAAATGTCATTGAGTCTAGTGTAACTATACAGAAAAACACAAAAGAGACTTAAGTTATACGCAATGTATACTTAACAAAAGTTAAATGAAATTTGCAAACATCACATACGGTCATATTTTATACACAGTAAATGGCGTCCCTGTATCCGAGTGTCTGGTATGCATATTTGTAACGTCACAGAATTTCGAAATATTCTAATATTTGAAGTATTTGGCATTCAAAAGTGCATACACAAAGTTTTTGCCAAAAAAAAAGAGAAGAAAAACTCAGATAAACTTTATTTCTGTAAGAAGCGTATGTAATTTCATTCTTTTATAATTATAGATATCATAACCCTTAGTTTGAGTAATAATTAATAAAAATGAGACCTACCTTTTTTGGAACTTTCAGAAACCTGGAATCTAAAACGAAATAACATAGAAAAATTCGGTGAAATATTTAAAAAGAAGACGAAGTTGAATGATTTATAATGAGACAACAATTCGCAAAGATGGGCAGACCAGAAACAAAATATACACACATTAATAATGAATGCTACGAGTAACGTATGTCTGCATAAAATATCCTACTGTTTTAGACTACTTGAATACACGTTCAAAATCGTTTCCCTTTAATTTGAGATTTTGTTCAATGAATAAATATATCGACTATAAAATTAAATCGACAACCAAAACAAAATCTAATATGCTGATGTCGAAATAACAGAAGAATTAAGGTCAGTCAAGCATTTCGAAATGTACACTACAGCAAAATATATTAAAAATAAAAATAGTTTGTAAATGGGTTTGTTTCTATTTTTAAACGTTATTAATATGTAACTGAATGTCAAAATGAAACTTTAAAGCGAAATGTGTAGTCAGCACAAAATGCATTCAAACAAAAACAATTCCAACGGTCGAAGTGTTCCTAGTAAAAATGAAATTATAATAAATAGGTTTATTTTCTTTATTAATGTTTGGAGAATGCGTTCACCATAAAATGGGTAAAAAGAGCAATAACTCAAATCCAAATTCAATATTGTATAGAAATGGTATCGCACAATCTAGAAATTAAAAATGGCTGACATATGCTATATGTAAAGTATGCAACATGTTTTTTTTTTAGTTAAAGGTTTTAGAAGTAAAACTATTAACTCTTGTGTGTTCAGAGACACTATACAAGATAGGTAGAACATAAATCTTTTTGATGAAAACGGGAAGGCACAATCGAAGTTCGTATAACTGATTATATTTCAGTTTACATTTTTAAGAACGGAAAATGTAGTCTCTTGCTAGGATAATTATTGTGTACATATTGTGGCAATTCAATAATGTTTCTATTAAATATGTAGAACAAAATTGATTACAAAAATGTACTGATCCGTACAGAAAAGATATCTGATTTATATCTTTCCCGGGTTTCCTTTAAAAAAATTATCTATAAAGAAATAATAAATAGATTGATAGCCTAATTTACAAAAAATTGTTAGACAGAGCCAACAAAAGAGGGACGAAAGATACCAGAGGGACAGTCAAACTCATAGATCGAAAACAAACTGACAACGCCATGGCCAAAAATAAAAAGACAAACAGACAAATAATAGTACAGATGACACAACATAGAAAACTAAAGACTAAGCAACACGAACCCCACCAAAAACTGGGGGTGATCTCAGGTGCTCCGGAAGGGTAAGCAGATCCTGCTCCACATGTGGCACCCGTCATGTTACAAATCCGGTAAATAGTCTAATTCGGTAAGTCACATTCGTGAAAAGGGAAGGGTATTGTAGTTACGACATAAGGAACATATCCGATATCATCTGTGAAACGGTTATTACATAACGGTCAACCAACTCGTGATGGCGTCCGCAAAATTTACGAAGGGATGATTTCAACTTCACCATTTGGAACTCTTGGCTCAATAGTTTCCTTGTGAGCAGCAATCCTCTATCAAGGAAATCATGATAGGAAACACAAGCCCGGGAATATCGTATCAATTGGGAGATATATACTCCGTATGCAGGCGCTGCTGGAATGTTGCTACATAGAAATGGAAAGTTCACAATTGGGAATCTGAAATCATCTCTTTTGTCGTAAAGTTTTGTTTTCAACCGACCCTCATTGTCAATTTCTAGATGTAAGTCAAGATATGAGGCAGACTTAACTGTATCTGTAGTATCCTTTATCTCTAGTTCGATGGGATAGATTCGTTCAACATAGTCACCAAATTTTGTATTATTTAGTGAGAGAACATCATCTATATAGCGGAACGTAGAGTTAAAGGAAATTGCTAACTTCTTATCTTTCTTCCTAACACGTTAGCAACAACCGACTCTTCCGAAAAAGTACACGTATAAACAAAGACAAGCAACAACGAAGAACAAAGGGTCGTTGATCTCGTTCAGGCACAAACTGTATGATTAAACCAAAGACCAACCACTTTATCTATATATTTTATTTCATAAAATAAAAAACCTGCACATTCGAACTATCTTTAAATACTTAAGTTTCGTTTTTTATTTGTTAAGTTTCATAATTTGTTTTAGTGAGATTAACTTTGAATAATATTATATGTGTAGAACACAGTTTAAATTCCTACTGAAAGAAAAGTTTGTAAAGATTATTGAAGAATTAAATGTTATTTCAAAATGCATAACAAAATATTTCCAAAGATCGAATTCACCACCTAAATCATAGTGTCATCGACTCTATGGCTATAACCATGAGCGTATGTATATATGTAGGACTGGGAAGTGCGATGGAGACGTTGAAGTGCGGTGATCACGCTGAAGTGCGATGGTCCGTTTGCTGATGTGCGATGGGCATGGTCCATTGGCTGATGTGCGATTGTCCGTTCGCTGATGTGCGATGGTCTATATTACGCGTGATGGCAAGTTTGAAATCTACAGATGTTCAATTATTATGAGCAGTAGATTTTTCTATTGGTAAGAATATAAAATTGCATTCGTTATTGTCTATGAATGTCCTTAGTTACAGTTGCATACTAAATGAGAGAATTTTCTCTTTTATTTTCTGCATGTGAAAATAATTCTGCGTTAAAATTTTATCTTTACTTGGTTCTTCTAATGAGTTGTTCGTTTACTATATCATTATTATACGGAGAGTCAGTCTGCGGACTCGTATTTATTTAGAGATTGCCACGCTCCATCGTACGTAAAAAAGAACCTTTTGTTGATTTAAAAAAAAAAAACCGCTACAGAAGGTTAACTTTCCCCCTCCACCAATCACTCTCCATTTCCCGTACAGTATCAAAATTTGTTAAGCATCTTATTAATTTAAAATCCAGAAAAAATCTTTTAACAAACAAATTGGCTCCTACATAAACATGAAAAGCATTGACAATATAGCTTATGTAGTCCGTCGCAATTCAGCTTTACCACCATCGCACTTCGTGGTAGCTATCAACAAGATTGCGTCACAATGCCACCATCACACTTCAGCGTGATTAAAAATGCACTTCAGCGTCAAACCATCGCCATCAGCGTGACAATCGCGGTTCAGAATCCTACATGTATAGACCACATAACATAACTAGACATAGTGGAACCGGTAACTTTCAAGATATTTTCTGAATGGAATTCATAAATCTATAGTATTCGATGTAGCAGTCTATGAAATTGTTTTCATATCTCATCTTTTGATCATGATGGGTTGTCACATAGTGGGAAGTCTTTATTGTCCAAAATGATAAAGCAGTGTGTTTGTAATTCTATAATTAGCTAAAAATACTGGAATGGTATCATTGAATGCATTTTATCTGATCAAAAGGTATGTAATATAAAAATAAGGAGATGAGGTATGATTGTCAATGAGACAAATATCCACCAAAGTTCAAATGAAGTGGATGTAAGCAATTATAGGCAACTGTACGGCCTTCAACAATGAGAAAAACTCATACCGTATGGTCGGCTATAAAAGGCCCCGACATGAAAAATATGAAACAATTCAATTGAGAAAACGGTCTAATTTATAACAAAACAATTTACGAAAAACAAATATGACAGACATGAACCAACGACAACCACTGAACTACAGGCTCCTGACTTGGGACAGCCACATAAAGAATGTGGCGGGGTTAAACATGTTTGTGAGCGCTCAACCCTTCCCCTAACCTGCCAGGACAGTGGTGTAACAGTACAACATAAGAAAAAACTATAGAAATCAGTTAAAAAATGCTTAACCTACAGATGGATACAAATAGAAATACATCTAGAAGAAACACAGAGTGAACGTGGACGGGTACTTATACATCCCAAAAACAAAAAGACACTAAGTACAGATATAAGAGTACTCGTAGTTAAGGACAGCTAGTTCAAAGCCAATAACAACAAATAAAAAAATCATGTATATAAGACTAAAATATCAATCAGTACACATCCAACATCCAATGGATTTAGTATAAAGACGTCATTAACAGTCAGAGATCATGTAAGACCTCCATACATGAACTCTAAGAGAAAGAAACGAGTGGCATAAAACTGTTTTTGACAACTTTTTCTACAGCTACACTTCAACCATAATATAAATATAGCTTGAACTATTATGTATTACTTTGCATAATATAAGTTTTAGAATAACAGCTTTTTTTTAGGATAGAACAAGAGTGTTCACAAAATAACACAGTTCAATTTATTAAGTGTTTTGTGGAGAGTTGTGTCATTGGCACTCATACCACATCTTCTTTTTATGTTTCTTCAGTTTTTGGATGTTTTTTGTATGCTATATGATTTTGTCTTTTCCGTTGCCATTCCGCCATTATACATGTTACTGTATATGATGAGTTTGTCAATTTCATGGCAATACCAATACAAAACTATTTAGTAATAAACAGCATATCATACGTTTCATAGATTGAATCTGATGCAATTAAAAATAGAAATTACAAATAAATGTGAACAATTCCCAAGTGACAATTGCTCCATCATAATTTTATTTAGGATTCAGATTTCATTTATTCTTTTATAAATTGTAATAATGTCGCCACGAAAGATAAAGCTATATATTAGATTGGCTTTATATGAACTATCTCGCTAGAGAAATCTACGGATCAAGTTTGTATAATGTCAAGACTGTGGATAATCCATCAATGTATGCAGAAATTACATCGAGTTTTCATTTCCCAAAGAGACACACTGCCATAATATAAACATTAGGGATTTATAGCAACATGTTATAAATGAATTCCTTTGAATTATACAGAGTATAAATACTTTTATAGTCATTTTATAGTACGAGATTTGTTTGTGCAGAACTAAGCAATATCATTAATACTAAAAACTATACGAACAAAGAATGCGTAAACACAATGGAAATGGAAAAAAATTGTTTGATGTTCAATTCAAAAATAAATAAAAAATAATCCCATTTGCGGTTCAAGGCTATCTCATTCCGTTGTGTAGAATTACACCGATCTACAACTAAGTGCATTGCTCTTTTGTCAACATGAAAGACCATATTTAATGGCAAATGTTTCATGCATGAATATTAAGAAAGAACACAAATTAAAAAAAAATATTACAATAGATAGGTTCTGTAACGTGGGTCGACTGGAAATGTAGACTTCTACTGGCAAAAGAAAATATGTTGGTTAGGTGCAGAAATTTTGCATTGCAACAGGTCATAAAAGAGTCGACTGGAAATGTAGACTTCAATTAGCACAAGAAAATATGTTGGATAGGTGCAGATATTTTGCATTGCAACAAGTCATAAAAGAGTCGACTGGAAATGTAGACTTCCACTAGCAAAACAAAATATGTTGGATAGTTGCAGAAATTTTGCATTGCAACAGGTCATAAAAGAGTCGACTGGAAATGTAGACTTCCACTAGCACAAGAAAATATGTTGGATAGGTGCAGATATTTTGCATTGCAACAGGTCATAAAAGAGTCGACTGGAAATGTAGACTTCCACTAGCAAAACAAAATATGTTGGATAGGTGCAGAAATTTTGCATTGCAACAGGTCATAAAAGACTTATTCTAAAAGTTGTTTTACTTGCATAGAGTGTAGTTCTTATTGAACATACCTATTCCAACCATTCGTGGCAGCGAAGCCAAACAAAATCCTCTTTTGAGCAATGGGCTTATTGCCTGCTGTTAAAATCCATTGTGTACATATTTTTATTCCCAAGTCAAGTGAACTCTTGTGGTTCGACCATTTATGTTTATCTATTTTCACTCAGAACATACGTTATAACTTACCCTAAAAGTACCATTAAACTGAAATACATGTAGTATCTTAATATACGGTGGACAGGTATAAAAGACCGCTTCAGATAATCACTAGACGCAAGTGTACATGTATTGAAATGATTGAAAATCTCTCGGAAAATAAGAAATACGTGTAAATCAGAGATAATATACAGATTGTTGGTATTACTCTGGAATTTCTGTAAACCAAGCAAACTCGTTAATGGAGTTAATATAATCATTTCTAAAAGCCTGGATTATATAATTTGAATATAAATCATAAGTTGCAATAAGATAAAACGAAAAGTGCAACCATTGAAACACCATCTGGGATTAACTTTCTTTGCTAAGATGATTTTTGAATCAATACAGTAGTTATCAACTATGAAATATGCGATTTTTCGGAAGTCACGATATTTGCTTTCAAAAGCGGATTTACGTGTAAACTCTTTGAAAATAATAATGCTAATAAACGTCTCACCATCTTTGTTATCATCTCCATTCAATATTTCAGGCCTTTCTGAAAACATCAAAGGAGAAACTCGAGGAGAAGGAAGAATACTTATGGTCTCGTTTTCATATTGCACATTGATAGCTATCTGTCTCAGTTCACGACATAAGGAAGAAACCTCACCATCTGTTATAATACTGTTTTCCCTGTAAAATACCAGGTACAATATTACAAACATTTTCGAAATACATTAAAATATCATATGACCAGATAAAACGGTATCAAAATTAGATAAGGTTTTCGATTTATAGGCGGCAATCGATTTCTCACTGCTAGAAATATCATACCAAGTGATTATCTTTTGCATTCTTAGGGTGAGAAAATTCTTTGTTGAATAATCCATTGTGGTTTTCTTAGATCTAATTAAAAATAGCAGCATCGAAGGGGCATATAATATACAGATTTCCTTCATATTGTTTTGATATGATGATAATGACTGGTCGCATTCTTATATAGATATAAGAAGATGTGGTATGAGTGCCAATGAGACAACTCTACCACATTTACTATTCATATTCGTCATATATTATTGTTTCACTTTTCAAAATTTAATTTATATTTCATATATTTATATATTTATATTTCATTATAAGAGATAACACATGTTAAGAAATAATATGTATGTATTGGCGAAGTAAGATCACGGTTTCTGTCGGTTACCAACCCATGAACAATGGGTTTTTGGGTAACCTTAAATTACTGATTTACGTGAAGTAGGTACTAACATATATGTTACAATTTTCATTGTCTCTATCATACGTTCTTTAAGAATACCACAAATATTTTAATATGTGTATCTGTGTAACGTACATACATTATCCCCTTCTTATTTAACACAATGATCAAATATGAACGTAATCTGATGAATGATACATGTAATTATTATGAGTCCTATTGAATATGCAGAAAGTAACCTGAAATGTTCAACCACATCACATATTTCATTCTAGGACCAGAGAGTCGGTATAAATATATTTCGATTGCCATGTTTGAATTTGGAAACAACTGATATGTGTATACGTACAATGTAGTTTCAACCATGTTAAGTTACAAAAAATAACGTACCAGTGTGTTAGTTCAGTAAGATAAACATAATCGGCGGACTGCTTATGATCAGATCTTGGTATGGTATAGCTGTCTTCTGACTTTGAACCCCAAGTTGCAATGAATATAAACGTCACAACCTTCGTTAGTTCTCCAAACTACCTAATTATACAACCTACTAGAACAGACCCGCGACATGGCGGGTCCGTGACTGAATTAAAGTATCTACACCTTATTTTTAGCCTGGATTTTTAGTATTCGTATTGTCATCTGATAAATCCATGCTGATTATAAGGTGCACAGTTTTCTCTGCTTTCAAAATCTTTCTAAACCTGTCGAAACGGAACTTATCAATTATTGGTAATATTAATTATGTAAAAAACAAAAGGGCCTGGAATGGTGTAATTTTTAAACAACACCATTGTCCTATGTTAGTTATATATAAAGTTGAATTCTTTTATTCGTCGTTTTTACGCCGGCTAACAAATTGGAAAGCACCTACGTCATATTTTAGCCTGGATTTTTAGTCGTCTGATCAAGTCATGGCGATTATGAGGAGCAGAGTTTTCTCTGCTTTCAAAACCTTTCTGTTTGAACCAGTCAGGGTTTTCTTACAACAACCGGAAACTACATGTGACAATGATTGAATTTAATAGTGTCAATTCCTGTATAATGACGAAGATCAGGTGTGATTATGACCTGTGTATGTAGAAAATCCCAAATACCCCGTTTGGCGGTGCGCCTGACAGAGGCGGAACGTACAGATTAGTTAACAGGTGACATATACTATTGGTATCGGTATCGGATTCGACCCGGAACTTGTTTATTATTGGTAATATTAATTAAGAAAAAAAAAACAAAATGGGCTGGAATGGTGAAAATCAACACCATTGTCCTATATTAGTTATATATAATGTTGAATTCTTTGATTTGTCGTTTTTACGTCATGCCGGCTAACAAATTGGACCTCGTTATTTTAGTAGTATAGATAAAATTGATTAATAGATCATGTTTAACGAGACATGATAGCTGTATACTCTGATATATGATTATATGCCTGTCAAAAGGAGGAATCCTTGTATGTGTGTTGCCCTCTGTCTATAAGTGTTGTGAGATATTTGGTTGTATCTAATTTGGCATTAATCTTTAATTAACTTGTTGGTACCGTTAATGTTATTACTACCACTGGGTCGATACCTTCGCTGGTGGACTGTTAGTCCCTGAGGATATCACCAGTCCGTTAGTCAGTATCTCTGTACTGGTATGAAAATACGGATATTGTTTGATTGAAATTTGTGAAAATAATTTAAAATTAAGAAGTATATCTCCCTCATGCAATGATCTCATTCCGTTTGAATTTAGGTCTTTTTTGGTTTTTTCAGCTCTTCAATGTTTGTATAAGTTTTGGTTTTTCAAATATTTTGGCCTCGAGCTTCACTGAAGAAACATTATTGTCCAAATGTACATCTGGTGGAGTAAAATTTGCATCATTAGTGTTATTAACTTTAGGTGTTGGTTGTCTCTTATTTGATATTATTCTGAAATATAGTAAATTCCCAATGTTAAAGAGCTTGTTTTGACAAAGAAGGTGTGCGCCAAGTGTTGAAATTCATATGTTTTATTATTATTGTCATGATCATACTGGATTGTAATAATATAACACATAGTTCCTTTAGGCTTTACTTTGGATTTCAAATAAGCTTGAAAATTGTATCAGAATCGCTTTTCCTATATTTCTACACAACTTAGATTCATCAAGCTTGAAATTCTTGTAGTTTTTTTTTCATAAATAAAAACTCTGATGTAAAAAAAAATTTCGGTAAGCCATTTTGGAAATATTTCATAAAATGCCTGCATTTCCAATTAACATGTATAAAACTTAATCAAATTAAATGACTTTTTAATATTTATTCTGAGTTTGAAGAACCTATCTTGTAGCAAGTAACACTATTATTCCGTCATTGTAACAACTAGGGTAAATCTATTTCCATGTAAATTCAATTTATTCATGAAAATGCTTAGCCATTATTAAATGCAATAGATAGCCCTTAGTCACACCTGACATTTCATATAAAATTTGTTTACTAATATCTATTTGCTTTCAGCGAGCCTTTTTCCTAATAACCAGATTTCTGATCCATGGCAAAGTTCATAATTTGATTTCATTTTCATTGCAGCAAGCGTTGTCGTAAGTATCTATATACATAACAACTATTACACAATGTAATCTCTTTATTATTTTGTGTCTCTTGTGTAATATCTACAAACTAGTATGTTTTTGATATTTCAACATTGCTAAAATAAATTAATAAATAAAACATGCTAGACCGAATAACAAGTGATCAGTATGTTGGAGTTTCTCATTCACAACATATTTGTTGAATTTACGAGTAGATTTATTCATCAGATTGTCCGCACCCCTATTGGAATCAACTGTAATACCAATAATCGACCGTTTCTTATTTTCATATGCATCGGAGTTCCATCAGACACTTGTAAAAACAAGAAGACCAAAGAAGCTAATTCGTTGTTGATTTTCCTTCAAATAATTACCCAAACTTGTCTGATTGGGTCCTATTAATACACCCTCCTGATGACTCTTTTGTTGGTGTCTTTGTCATATTTATTTGTATGTTTGGTTGAATTTTGTAGTCAGTTGTGTTGTACGTCTGTGGTGTATGTTTACACAGTTTTGGCTGCTGGGTCCCAACCATTGTCACTTTTAACCAATTACATTGTATATGTGTTTGGGTTGCTCAACCAGTTTTCTCAATATAACGGAACTTTAAACAGATGTCATAAAAGTGGAAGGTTTAGCTAGCTATAAAACAAGGTTTAACCCGCCATTTTCTTAAGAAAAGCCGGTGCCAAGTCAGAATAGGACAGTTGTTTTCCATTTGTTCCGTTGGTTGGTAATCTATTAGTTTAACGTTTGATTTTGTCAGGTTTTATGGACTTCTCCCTTTTAGAATTTATTTTGGAGTTCGGTATTTTTGTCAGGTTTTATGGACTTCTCCCTTTTAGAATTTATTTTAGAGTTCGGTATTTTTGTCAGGTTTTATGGACTTCTCCCTTTTAGAATTTATTTTGGAGTTCGGTATTTTTGTCAATACTTTTACCTTGTGAGCTAGTATTGGCCTTGTACAAACCATGGTTACATTTAAATCATGTTCCCGTCCTTTGCAATTGATATGCATACTGGACGTTAGAAATCCAACCATTCATTATTAGATTTTAATTTTACCTTTTCAGAAATCGTGATATGTATAAATTATATACATACATTGCTTATGACAGACGGCAACCAATGGCAAACACTAGGCTATTGGTTTCTGGCTGGGGACATAAAGAAGAATGCAATTGGGTTAAACATGTTTGTGGGCGCTCTTTTCAGCAATAAGTAAAGAGAAACAACACGTTTACATAACAGTGAATGTTTGATTGCATAGATGGAATCAAGAACACAAACAAAAATTGAGGGAATACAAATTGAATTGTGTGGAAGAGATTATACGTAAATTAAAATGCTCCGTGGGGTGCAGCTTGATACGACCGCAGACGTCGAACACTGAACAGTTGGGGCAAGTGTGGAAACTACATTCAAGCTTGACACAGCTCTGAATTTGGATTGTGATTAAATATTTGACACAGCATAGGTTTTTGACAAAGAATGAATGTGGTCAATCAATAATTACTAGAATTGATATATATGTATCAGCAAAATTCTTAGTAACATTTAACTAGAGGCCCTAAAGAGCCTGTTTCGCTCACCTGCATCTTGAACAATCGCCACTTATTACTATTACAAAGAGTGCACATGCTGAAATGTCTCGCCTGTTTTACTTGCCATTGGTGTTATGTTGAAAGTCTTAAAAATAAAGGTTGTTCTACAAGTATCACTTAAACTTAACATTTTTTAAAGATCCTTGACAATGCGGTCAAGGTCAGATAAATCCTGTCATACAGACATGATTACCTTACAATTATCTTATACACGAAATATAGATTACCTATTGCTTATTGTAATTGAAAAACAGACCAAAATACAAAAACTTAACATTGACCAATGAACCATGAAAATGAGATCAAGGTCAGATTAGAC